AAATTTCAACTTTGTCTGGCGCTTAATTGAGGTGTAAAATACAAAGTTTTTGTGGCACTGGCGCCTAATTGAAGGTGGCGCTTAACTGAAGACAAATACGGTAGCTAGGATTCTCTAGGACCCCAGTGAAAGTAGCTAGGACTCTCTAGGACCCCAGTGAAAGTAGCTTTGACTCCCTAGAACTAGTGAAAGTAGCTGTGACTCCCTAGGACTCCAGTGAAAGTAGCTATGAATCCCTAGAACTCTAGTTGAAGAGCTGTGAATCCCTAGGACTCCAGTGAAAGAAGCTTTGACTCCCTAGGACCCCAGTGAAAGTAGCAGTGGCTCCCTAGAACCCCAGTGAAAGTAGCTATGACTCCTTAGGACTCCAGTGAAAGTAGCTATGACTCTCTTGGACTCAAGTGATAGTTGCTTAGAATCCTTAAATGACCAAACCAACAAAATTTCATCTTTTCCCCTAATTTCTCAAAATTCATCAAAATATAGCGACAATACATAATATACAAATTTTCGCATCGACCTCCGCTGCACGACGGCCAATACTCCCGCTATACTGTAGTTTTGCATACTTTGAGGTATCCTCGTAATAATCTTATTATCATACCGGGGGTATATCTTTTCATTCCAAGGATACACCATTAGAACGCTGAAACCCAAAAAGTTTGGAACAAAATCAGAGAACTTTGTGTGGAGTCTGGTCAAACGCCGGTGGCAGCCATGTTTGTTTTTATTATTAGAGGACACTGACGCGCATAATCATTTCATATTTGGAATCCGCATTTCCTTATATGGTAGGATGTAAATACCCCTTAAAATACCGCAAAATTACGGCACGCTGTAACTTATGGCGTTACAGTGACAGATGTATAATAATAATCATTATATCATTTTTACATTGCATGTGAGCAATAACATTCTAAATATTGCATCTGGTTTCATACTGTATTAAAACTCGTGATCAAATGACCCTGCCCGTTAATTATCAAGTCAATGTAAGACTGTTTGCTTTCAGAGATTTTGGTGATTTGCAGGCATTCACTAATCATTGTCCTATTTACAAAGTTGTCCTGATATTAAGTGAATGTGACAGTTTTAACTTCTATAAAAAATACAAAGCCTTGTAAAGATGAATAAAGCTTACTTGAATTATTAAACTGTGTAGTTGCTGCAGATTATATTAATCCAATAAAATGTGGAAGCAATGAGAGAAACATAGAAGACAATAAGATATTAGCAGCAAATAATATCCAATGTAATGTCTTGCACTTAATAATACCAAGAATATGTCTCATTTGTAATCCATGTTCAAAACCAAAGACGTAAACACAAGATTTAGTTGTCGCTCATGGCCAAAATGTCAATTTATTCAAGTCAGTGAAGTAAGTAGAGTAGTTTTAAAATTTATTTGAGGTTATTTTGTCATATTCAATTTAACTGTGAACAAATAAATGAATCACTGCATTAATTTAAGTGGAGGGGAATTAACAGAAACATTTGGGTGGGTGGAGGGGGGGTTACAATTTCAATTTTGTTTTGCGTAGTATTGCAATACAGCTATCAAATATAAGTAGGCAAGGCTGTGAATATGTAAAAACAGATTGTGAGACTTCAGATTTCATTGGTGCAAGACATTACAATGTTGTAGATGAAAGCCGTGCAGTTTACATGCTGATATTCAATTTTAACCTCTCGTAATGTAATTTATTATAATACAAAAGATTCCAACACAATTCATGGTAATTGCCTCAAGATTTGTGATATTGTCCTATTTAAAAATATCACACCAACCAGATTTTACACCAACACACAGGAAATGAAGTGTACATATTTATTAATTCACCCTGATATCTCTATAAGGTGGGTAAGAATTTTTAGTCCTAATAAGATTTTTTTTTAAATATTTGTTTGCGCCAGTCGACATTCAGAGACACCACCGCTGTCTCTCCTGATATTTTATGTGTCATATGCTAATTTGCAAAAGGTACATGTGTGAACCAGTCTCCCAAACCAAATACAGTGTCTTTGGAAGGCAGGGTAGATTGTACTCTGATTAATACTGTTCTGTAAACAGTCATCTTGGAAAATGACCCAACAACATTCCTTATAAACTAATAAGTTAGGGGGTCACAAAAATGCATAGATGATTTGCATAAATTTGCATGCATGGAGTTGCAAACTTGTTTCCTAAGTTATTTAAATTGCCGAAAAATGTGGCAACAGACATCACAGTGCCCAGTTAGAGATTTATTTTGAAACTTGCATGGTGGCTAGCAATGGCACAATCAGCCATGTGTTAATATGAAGATGAAGGCTTAACCTTTTTCACCACCAGACTTTCTCGCACAAATTTTTCTGCATTTTTTTCTTATATTTTCCAATATTTCTGGAAATGAAGCCTAATTTTGGAGCCGACAAACAAAATTTGAGTCAATTTTCAGTTTTGACTAAAAAATTTGACTATTTTTGTCCCAATCTTCTGAAGGAAAGTGCAGACTATAACAAACTATTTTGTGAATTTGTGATGAAGAGGGAACTGGAGGTGAAAAAGATAACACAACAAAACAGGCAGGAGAGCTTACCCAATCAGCATGCCAAGAAGAAGACTGAAAATAAAATTGTGTGACCCTACCTTTTGAAAGATATGAAATATGCCAGCCCTATTTTTTCCTTTCCGTCTTCCTGTTCCAGATAATGTTAGTGATCCACTTTTGTATCCAGCTGGAGTATTCCCGCTTCCCGTTGAAATGTTATCACCGTCGTTGTTTTTACTAATATCTTCAAATGGAAAGTCACCGGGTGGATCTAATCCTGATTTATATCTGTCAATCATCATATTAGTATCCTAGAAATGATTAATATACAACAAATTAGAGGGTTAACAATTGGCATAAATTTCTTTTTGAACATTTGAACACATTTTCACTACTGCCACCCTTCATAATTGTTTGTTTCCATAAAAGATGTAAATCAGAATTTGAAAACTTTCACAAAAATCAAAAAGTACTGTAATGTTTTGTCTGTGTTGAGAACGAATTTGGAAGAAAATTTACCTAGATTTGATTCAACATTTTGACAAGTGTTGTACCATGCATCTTTTTTAAAAGCACATATAAACCAGAAATTGTACTTGTTGTATACTGAATCATTAAAATATTCCCATAAAATCTGTATTAGAAGCAACATCCCTAAAAGAAGTCACACCCATTCCTTTAGAACAATTGGAAACTAAAAATTCACTATTACTAATATGTGTACATTTCTCTAATAGAAGCTGTATCACCTCTGTTGCATTGTACCATTTTAATAGAAGCAGCAGTTTCTAATACAGATTTAACAGTACTCATTTTTACCATAGAAACATCTTTGTAATTTGTATAGTACCACAAAATTATGATACTAATGGTGATATAGATGTAAAATAATAATCTGGATCAATTTATTTCATATTAGCACAAGGCCAAAACTGCTCTTTTAATCACAATTAAATGACAAACCAACATACTCTTGTATGATCTACACTATTGCCAGCAGCGGTCATTCCATCCAAACATTTTCCAATAATAGGTAAGATTGTCCGGTGTTCATCCGCATATATTTTGTAAAATTCTCCTAGCATATCTATTCTGTGATTATTGAGTTCTTGAAGTTGCTGAAAGGAGGAAATTATTGATTTAGTAAAAATATCATGAATGTAACTGGGAATTAAGTAAGCACAGAGCTAGGTTTACTACAGAAAACACAGCTGGCAAGTGAGCAGGATACCTTAATAAAGTTCAAACTGTTAGCAATGCACATTTCAAACAGAGAATTTAAGATATCAACATGAAATGAAATGAACAAATCTTAGAGGTCCAGCCTGAGCTACCTATATCATGTATAATATCAAAGAAATCGGACTTGCGATTTTCAACCACTAGTCGATAATATCTAATTTTACCAAAAATGACAAAAATATTCATCATAATTTTAATAGAGAATTAAAGATACCATCACGAAAAGAACAAATCTGAGAGAGGTCCATCTGAGTAACTTATATGTATAATATAAGAGCAATCAGACTTGCGATTTCAAGAAGGCAAAAAAATAAAAAGTTGATGCAGATGCCAACGATGAACAATAACTAATAAAATAATAATCTTCGCTCAACGAAGTCAACAGCGAAGCTAAAGAAAACCAACACTCTGATACTTACCCTAGACCTTTCACAAAAGAGACATAACACTACTTGCATGATTACCACAGATAAACATATATACCGGTATACTAGTAAAATTATAGTCATGGTTTAGGTGGAGTAACCAACAAGTGGTCATGATTTAAATAATTTTTACCACGACTGTAGTGAATTTGGAAAGTTTCAACCAATCAAATCTTAGTGAATATACACTAACTTAATTAGTAATCAATTTGTTGTGTACTTGAAGTAGTCTAATATACCATAACCATGTTACCACATATAACCATGAAACTTCTAGAACGCCTATTGGCCAATTCAAGACAGCCATGGTGTAAACATTGTATTTTCAACGATACCTTGAATACATTAGGCATTTCAACGTTGTAATGTTTTCTCTGTGCTTGGTTCGTGTTTTCTAATTGTAACACGTATTCATTTTTACAATCTTCACAAGTCTGTTTTTTCTGATTCATAAGATTTCTTTGCTGTAGAGAAAAAAAATAAGATGAAATAAAATAATAAAATTCAAAGAATCTTTGGGTATCCAATCGAATATCATCAAAGGTCCTGCAAGTTGAAGACTGCATGATAAAAAAAGTTATTCCAAGTTCACAGGAAGTAAAATATAATGACAGAAATTAGAATGTGAATGTAGTTTGCAACAACGACAATTGAATTTTATCCAAATGCCATGTGTATTGTACAGCATGTAATTTTGATGGTAAATTACTGTCATATCATAGTATTACTGTAAATCACTGTCATATAGTATTACTGTAAATCACTGTCATATCATAGTATTACTGTAAATCACTGTCATATAGTATTACTGTAAATCACTGTCATATAGTATTACTGTAAATCACTGTCATATAGTATTACTGTAAATCACTGTCATATCATAGTATTACTGTAAATGCATTAATTACTCACTAGGTTTTTCATTTCACTGCATAGTCAGTTCAATTAAATTCATGTGAACATGTAAAATTACAATAAAACTCATTCTTTCCAAATTGTGAACTGAAAACCCAGTGACTATGCTCAAAAGCTGCATCCCACCTTATTAGGGAATAAAATTTCCAAATATGGAACAATTACTGGGTATTTCTAATATGGTGGACAATTTTGAAAACAAAGTTCACAGTGTGAAATTTCTAATAATTTCCTCTATTTTGCTTAGTTCCAGGCTTCCTACACCAAATGGTTGGATCAGGTAGATTTATAATAACACAATGTGGACACCATTTTTTCCAATTTTTATGGCTATTAGTGGAGGCATTCAGCGGGTGATACAACAATAAGGTTATTATGAGGATACCGCAAAGTATACACACAGACAGAACATGGCCACACTATCCTCCGCTATTACTGTCTATGTGCATACTTTGCGATATCCTCACAACAATCTCATATAATTATTATCATAGCGTGATTATCTTTACCTTTTCTACTTGTACTCGTGGCAGATTCATGTCGTCTTTCACTTTTTCATATTGTTGTGTTGCATTCACAGCTGATTTATACGAAGATTCATAATTTTTTTTCGCCTGAAATGATAGAATAATTCAATAATATAATTAGTAACTATACAAGTACTCGATAGTTGTATGTAAATTCACAAATATGATAACACAATTATTATAAACCTGTTATTTTAGTTATCATATTTTAGAAATCCTATAACACTAAATTCAAGACGCAGTTATTTCAAATTAAGTATATTCCCACATCGTCATACATGTAGTACGTGCTTTAAAGATCTACACTATTTCATAAAACAGAATAGGTTTATAATTGTTGTATTTTCCAGTTTTTGTTCAGTGCTAGTAAACTGGTCAAGGGGGCATCTTCTTTAAAGTGTCACAGTCGTTATGCACAGCTTATTTGATTACATTGTAAACCAAACAATTTGCATTTCTACATGCATTGTATATGTCACCATGGAAACTATATTCAATTTTTCTACAACACAACCATGAAGCTTCAACCTAATGTTTTTCACCAAAATATTGCTGCAACATTTTGCACATTCAGTTTTTTTATAAATTTTTCTATAATTTTATCGGTAATTTTAAACCAAAGTGATGTAGTGTTCAATTAAAGACAGATTTTGATCAATTTTTTTGTAATAATCTGAAAAAAATTTATGCTTATTTATTTTGTGAATGGTGATGAAAATCAACTGTGAGGTTCAGACGACAGAGACATAGTAGCGCACAATACAGGATTATTACAAAGATATCACAAAAGCAGTAAGATGTATAATGGAGGTTTACGCCATCCTTCACAGCCTCAATATTATTATTACACATCTTTTCCCGCTTCTAATCATAATTCAGTGTGAAATGCTGACAAAAATGAATGTATGCAAACAACCTTAAAACAACCAATCATACTGTATATTGAATACAAACAGGCACCCCAAACTTTGAAAATTCATGAACTAAGGCCTAAAAAAAGGTAAATTTTATGGTCTGTTAAATTTGTGTTCACTTATAGCATAGCGCCCTCTGTAGACATATTGATTAAATTTGTGCACTTTCAAAGAATTGTAATAAAACAGCCAATATTTATAACACACTGATTACTGGTTTTGATTTTTAGTTGTGCAAATTAATAGATTATTGATTAATCTGACCTGTTCAAGTGTCTGGATTGACACTGCTAACGTTGCTTTCACTTTATGTCCCTCTTTGAGGAATTTTTTTCTATCAGCTTTTAATTCTCTTATAAGTTCTTCGGAGGCTTTAACAACTTTTTCTGAAAGCGATTCAGCGACACTTTCGTGCTGCCCAGACATATCTGTCAGCTCCTTGAGAACATCAGCATAACCTTTAAGATAACTATAGCTGTGAATAATAATATAATATGCAAATTAGATTAATTAGCTAATTAATAACAATGAAGATGAGATATGCAAATGAGAAGACATGCACTGATGATTTCCCATAATTGAGTGTGTCCATGAAATAAACAGGGCTTGTTTGTTCTAGTGTCAGTACATATTGAAAGGACAGCAGCCCAAGACTACAGCAAATTATAATGATTTCGCCATTATTGGTTTAAGACCAACTTCAAACCATCTATAATCCAATCACATTTGTGATAGAGGTCATTTACATATCACATGATACTTCCCAACAATAACAATAAAGATAGAAGTCATTTACATATCACATGATACTTCCCAACAATAACAATAGAGATAGAAGTCATTTACATATCACATGATACTTCTCAACAATAACAATAGAGGTAAAAGTCATTTACATATCACATGATACTTCCCAACAATAACAATAGAGGTAGAGGTCATTTACATATCACATGATACTTCCCAACAATAACAATAGAGGTAGAAGTCATTTACATATCACATGATACTTCCCAACAATAACAATAGAGGTAGAAGTCATTTACATATCACTTGATACTTCCCAACAATAACAATAGAGATAGAGATAGAAGTCATTTACATATCACATGATACTTCTCAACAATAACAATAGAGATAGAAGTCATTTACATATCACATGATACTTCTCAACAATAACAATAGAGATAGAAGTCATTTACATATCACATGATACTTCTCAACAATAACAATAGAGATAGAAGTCATTTACATATCACATGATACTTCTCAACAATAACAATAGAGGTAGAAGTCATTTACATATCACATGATACTTTCCAACCAATCACATTATTGTTAAAAGTCATTTACATATCACATGACAGCCTCCCACCAATAACACACTCTTTATCACTCACTTACTTACTTGGATTCTTCCTCTTTCTTTTTAAGAGCACATGATTTCACAAGTCTCCTACAGAGAAAATATTAACATATTAAATCAATTATTTGTCCAGACTTCCCAAAAGATTAGTGACTTGACTTTCTAAGAACCTTTATCAATTCAATACAGATATATCTTGCGCATATGAAGAAACGCATGTATATGTGATTGGAGATGGTATGTGCAAATACTTTAATAGATTAAACTTGAACTAGATTAAAATACGAGTTAAAATTAAATTCACATATGGTTTCCACGAGGTACCATAATGAAATGATTTATCAAAACTGTCTAAATGTCATGTCTAATATTTTAGTTTGTTTTTCTACTATGCTTGAGACGTTTAGGTAAAATTTACATTTGTATGGAAGTTGTTTGTTATTTCCCTTTTTCTCTCTCATATTCTGAATTATAATTTACTACATTTTGAACAATCCAGTGAGTCTGCCCAGTCCTTTGAACAAATTTTCCAAAGATACTGAGTGATCATTAAATTTACTATTCATTTACCGAGGCCTAATTTGGAAAACGTCGTTAATGAATTATGCTCTATGTAACCATTGTGTCACTGTGTACATATATTAACCCCTAAACCCCACCCACCGTCTCATGGTATGGTATGTATATGTATACACTGGTACAACAAATGATATCCCCATGTTGATATACATACCAGTAACCTAATAGGTCATTTCAAACACTTTGAACATTTGACAAAGATGACAATACATTAACTTTGGTAAAATGACCATACATGTATACTAGTACCAGATTTGATCTACTAGAAGCATATTCAAATTAAGGTAGCCCGCTACAATTAAAACATGAAAAAAACTGATCACAGTAAATCATTCAGAAATTGTTGTGTAATGATTCACATACATGTACATGCAAGTCATTCATATTTAAAGTTTTTATGGAGGAAGAAGGATATGTTTCCACAAAAGTTAAGCAAATTAATCTAAAAAGCAACAATTTTGGAACATTTTCCATAGAATTCAATGTAAACACATCATTCCATTGGTAACTCTTACTAATATTGAGAATTCTCCCATTTTTCAGTCATATGCAGCCCTCATAACTCTACATATCATTTATTTAGCATAGGTCAACAAACAAAATTTTGAGATATGATGTAATGTTTCTGCCATAGGAACCAATTGTAAACTATTTTTGATCAAATTTTGAGTTTGTTTTGTGGAAAACTTAGTTCAGCGACCATATTTCAGAATATTGAACATTACAGTAACCCAAACCCCTCTTGTTGAATTACAGGGATTTTGTGTATATGTTTTCAATGCTACCAAACTAAGTCATAATTTAATGAAACAGTATAAAACTATATGTGATTTTTGGTTTATGTGCACTTCTAATAGAACAAATATGGTACATGAACATGTAATTCTTAAATAATTGTGCCAACATTTTGTTTTGTTAATTTTCCTCCATGTCTTTTCAAAGTTGAGTTTGTGCTGTTTTCACTGGCTCTTTAACCAGTGTTCCATGGTACACGTCTCAGCAATGTAGAACGTTCTGTTTTCTATTTTCAATTATCACATTTATTAAAACTAAAAAAAAATCCAGGTGCTTCAAAGATCTTTTTTTATTTACATTCATTTTCAATAGTACCATGACTATCGTACATCGCCATGACTACATTTATACCTCCATCTCCGATTTTTTTATCATACCTTCTTTTGATTGGCTTAAATATTTCGTCAAGCTAGGAGCCCGCATAAACCGTGAATTCTACACCTCCATTCTACCCCTGATGGACGTTATAGTGTATTCCCCATTAAAATACCTAATAATAAATTAGCATTATAACAATAGTAACTGTAAATATGTATTTATTGTCAAATCTAGAGGGCCAGACCTCTATAAAGCTCTAGGGAATACCCTCAGATTGAGTCCTAAAAAGTAGGTCAGATAAAAGAGAGAGCACAGATAATCAAACGATAATAGATGTTCAAATAAATATACATGTAGGTTTAGTTTTAATACCAGCAATTCTATCAAGCAGACACCAATAAGAGACTGGAAACGTTATTTAGTTATATTATCACAAGTTTCCTGTTGAAATCGGGCTCAACTATCACTAGACGCATGGAGCCGGGAACAGCCACTGGTGGCGCTGTATACAATCAAGACCTATTGTGGCTTGCCTTTGCTCATGTAGATTTGAGTGTAAAACGCAGAAACAGTTGTTAAATTTGGTGACCAGTTTAGTAAGTAAGTAAGTAAGTAAGTAAACTTTATTGACATTGTACCCTCTTTAGGGTATTAAATTGATAACAATAAAGTAAATGTGTTTTAGAAAAAACAAACAATTAAAAATAAATGATCAGATAAAGTACAATACAGTTATTACTAAAATAGCTAAATAATAGAAACAAAATTAAAATCACTACTAGTATCAGAAATAAATATGTATAATGTAAATATTATGAGGCAGCTGGTATGGTAAGTTTCATGTTTTCTTCTCTCAAGTTAAAGCACTGATAAATGAATTTACCAAGTTTGATCAATGTGTTTTCATTTTTGCTTTCTAGAATTTTTATTAAACAAAATTGATCAATGTTTGTGTTGATAGTACGATAGAAAGCGTTTACAGTCTTCAAATAACCACAATAGAAAGAGTGGTTGTCAAGACCGAATATACGTGATTCCGACGTTTCATACTAAATGCTTTCTATTAATAATTTAACTTTCAAATAATATTCAAGAGATATGTCTATGTCATATTCTGTTAAAGGTTAGTAGCATATTGTGTACGCAGTGCGCATGCTTCAGGTTCTTTTTTCTGTATTCCACAATGCATGCATCATCACAGTAAGCTCAATTGAAATTTACGTTACATGCATCGTCACGTTCAGCACCATCAATGGGGTTTCACCACCATGATGGTACTGAACTTAGTTTTTTGTTTTCGAAGACCACACATAGGCGACACTACCAGATATATACAACAGCTAACAAGCCACACCAACCCTACGACTGCTGAGGATTTGTACACACTCCCACCATGTCTTACGCTGTAATAAGCAATTTACAATTCTGGTTTTCCCATATCTCTGGATTTTACAATAAGTGCAAGCCCTGCATGTTAAACATTATAATACTTAAAATACGACTGTAGACAGATGACTGACCCATAGTGTCAATAGTACAACAATTAATATACAAGTAGAAGCAATCAACATTAATCACGTAAGTGTTTGGGTTACAATGATGACATGTGAATGAGTCATGAGTGGGTTATGACGTAATTACATTATATGGATTATATTAAGGAGATAGTCACATTGCTTTACTGTCATGTGACTCTAATAATATTAATGCAATTTCTCAGCATGGATATTAATTAAAGAGTTATTGTCACTGTGTGTTCAATATGGGTCACATCAGGCATGGCATTTAAAAATGGCCTGGGAGTTTATAGTTGCTCTACAGAACAAGGTAATGCCAGTGATTAGGGGAGTTATGGTAATATAATCTCTTCAAAAGCAATCTTCTGCGACTTGATTTGGGCGAGCGCTAGGCGAGTGAAGGGATCACTCGCCTTAGAAAGTAAAGTCTGGTCTTATGTGATGTATACATTTTGTGTAGAACCAAAGATCAAAATTGTCCCAGACAAGTATTTGTCGCAACCAAATGTGGACGCTGGTTGCCCATTTTGACAACCATGACCGGTATACCAAAAACAGAAATCACATTATTACATAATCCATGACATTTTCACTTTTAACAATTTTTGAGCAGTTGCTTAATCAATGTCATAGCCACAACAAATTATTCATGCGCTACATGACAGATATTACTCTTTAATTTCGCAAAAGAACTAATACATGTACGTATAATTTCAATTTTTTTTAAATTAAATTATTTTTAGACAGGAAGATGTCAGTATCAACTCGTGAATATTTATGAGGAATTAACAGTTTGCAGTAAAGCCAGAGGCACCTTACATATGGTCAATGCAATGGACACAATAGTTGACACTTTGAAACAGGAATCAGATGTCTGTTTATCTAAAGATATCAGCCTTAACACAGTAACTGGTAAACCGTGGCCTGAAAGACATTATTTGAGATTCAGTTACCATGATGGAAGTAACTTCCGGAATATACAACAGAGATTTTGAAAATGTGTAAAGAACAAAGCGCCATGCATTCAAATTCAAATCTCTACATGTATGTATAAGTTTCCATGATGAATAGTGCATACTTACACAAAGGACAAGTATGGTCAAGAATCTATCTTGTTACAGGCTGCCACCTCCCCCAAGACACAAGTTCTCCACATCATTAAAATATTGTTGTTAAAAGTAGCACTCTTTTGAGAACTATTATGCATTCAGAAATATTTATAATCAAAAAACATGTGGTGTTCACAGAGACAAAATTTCAGTTCAGGCTCCCTATCGAAAGGTCGTCATACAAGACCAAAAACACAATCGGATGATTGAATGTGTGAACGGTGTGGTACTAATAAAGTTTAGAATGAATTTCACTTTCTGATTGATTGTCCACAACACAAAGAAGCAAGAATGAGACTATTTCAATCAGCACAAACCTCAAATCATCATTTCAATATATGTTAAATAACGAAGAAAAGTTTATATATATTATGGGCAACATACATATAGAACTAGCATTTTATATTAACGAAAGTGACATTTTCTAAACCAGTGTCAACAGTATATTTTATTTTCATCTCTTCTTCTTTTTTTTGTTTCTTAGAATAGTATTTGACTATGTTCTATTCAAAATTAATAATGTCAATAAAGTTATTATTATTAACTTTTTGAATGACAAAGTTAATTTTTGGTATCATTCACAAATCAAAGATGATAATTTTTTTTTCAACAATTTTGAATAAAATCTTGTCAATAGGTAATGCAAAATAATGTCCATAGGCAAAAAATTGAAAAAGAAATTGTTGACAAATATATACAAGATGTCCCAAAATTTTGAATGATAAAAAAATAGCCAGTATAAAGGTGGAGTGGAATCGTCAGAATTATAAAGTTGTTATGGAAACCATAGACATATCTATAATCCAAAAACAGAGTTATAAAAAATCAGGTCAGGGTTGGGATTAGTGATACCATAGTTAAAATTTGGTGTTTACGAGGTTTTCCTACAAAATTCATGAACATTTTTACATGTGAAATTAAAAATGATTTTACAGTAGTTTTCACACAATTTTGAGTGATTATACTTGTCTAATTTCACATGTTTGATTTTGTCTGTGTCTGTGAACAGGCTTCTCCATGGATCACTGGTGTATTAGGACATACACTGGGTCAGCATTCTGTGATGCAATGCGATTCAGAATGCTAATAGAAAAGGAATTCAGACTCAGCCAACAACCTGTCAGTAAACATTACAGACTAGTGTCCGTGTTTCAGTTAGTAACAGCCACACAGATACTGTTTCTACATACCGTAGTATAGAAATGTTTGCCATGTTTGTTTGTTTTTTGGCAAAAAAATTTAGATTGACATTTGTACAGTAACAGTTATGCTTTTACGGCTATAAGATATCATTAAATAATATTGATGCAAATCTCGAGTTCAGGGTTTCATGCCAAATTCATACATTTTTACATATTTTGTTAGTAATAATATCGTACCAAATGATCATAATTTCTCATTGCCAAACAGGTCTTGATAAATTTTTGATAAAAAAATAAGGAAAACATTTTATTTATGGAATGTGACTTATTTTTTTCAAAGACTGAATACTATCTGAATTATTCCAATTTGCAATATAGACTTGTACACTACAATATTATTTAACAAATATGGAATTTCAATAAATATACAAATACTAAAAAATGCTTGCCACATAAAATTATGACAATTTTAGGATCAAAACATGTATGTTCCATTTCCAACTGACATTTTAAACAAAGCTTAATAAGAAATTTATAAAAGCAGTATATTGCAAAATACAAGGTATGGCTTCTAATAAAATGGTACAATACAACAGAGGAAAGGCAGCTTCTATTAGAGAATCTAAACACATGAGAAATGGTGAATTTGAGTTTTCAATTGTTCAAAAAAAAATGGGTGCAAGCTTCTATTAGGGATGCGGCTTCTAGATTTTACAACAATTTGTTTGTGAAGAAGACAGTAAATAAATTCACAATTGGGACCTTGTTAATGTTACATGTTTGATTTTCTCACTGACATTTTTCATCATTTATATATTTTTTTTTTTTGTGAATACAAATTTGAAGATTTTGCATATTTGTAGGACTCAGGGGACATTACTAACTTTATACCAAGCCTACTGATTACGTTAACCTTTTCACCACCAGTTCCCTTCTTTCATCAAAATTAAATCCCAAAATAGTCCGGTTTATAGTCTGCACTTCCCTTCAGAAGATTCCAACAAAAAATAGCCAATTTTTTTGAGTAAAAACTGAAAATTGACTCAAATTTGGTCTGTTGGTTTCAAAATTAGGGTTAATTTCCAGTAATATTAAGAATATATAAAAAAATGAATACAAATTTAGGCGAGAATGTCTGGTAGTGAAAAGGTTAACACATAAGAACCTCAGAAGGAATGAAAAGGCAAACAATTGAAATGAATAAAAAAGAGGAAATACAGTTTTAAAATATGACAACTAAGCTGTGTGTTGCCGTCTATGTTGCATACATATTGAAATGAACTGAGCCAGTGGTATTGACATGTCATCACTTCCCATAGGAAATTCAAATTTATTTTTAACTAGTAGGAACCACACATTTTTTTTTTTATTCGGGCTAGGCTGGATCGCTTGTAAAAAAATGAATCTACATGCAAATTAACAACTATTACTGCATATTAAAATGCAAATTAGTAATTAAAACACTCTCCTAGAGTATTAATGAGCAAAGATCGATACAGCACATTCATGACATGATATTACTCTGCACTACTGCGTACATTGATAAATCAATCAAGTGTAACAGATTACAAATTGAAACATATTTAAATTGTTTTTATTATTTTTTCTGATTTATTTCACATAATCGGGTAACAATTGTCGACGACTCATATACGCTCAATGAAACCTGAATAAAATAATCCTGAGATACATATCGATATTTATTGTATTTCACCAAACACTTCAGCTTAGCAGGCCATTGTAACCAGATGGTACACAGGGAGCTTTAAATACAGCAAAACCTGTTCTGTCACAGCATATTGACACTGTGGTAGAATGAACGTAAATCTATTGGCACTGTGGCGGTCTAAGCAAAATGCTTCAAATAAACGACTTTTTCGTAATTTACATAAAATGGCACAGTGTAATACATTCAAATACATTTTCAGACCACAAACTACAGACATTTTAAATAATTTCTCAAACTTACCTCAATGCTGTGGCATATTCGTTTTCTATTCGACAACGTTCTTTCACAAATTTACAATATTTATCTACAAAGTCTATGCCATTTGCGGTGTGTTTCTCTGCTATCTCAAACTGGTCCTACAAGAATAGAAATGTAAACATTTAATTAATTACGTCAACAAAAATAACAATATCTTGTGTGTCCACATCAAGCATCTCCATCATTTTTAAATTACCATGGAATACTTTATTTTCCCTGGAATTAATTTTCGCTGAAAAGGCATTTTGGGCATTTTGTATGGAATTTATTTTCACTGATTTTTGATGAGTTTAATGTGAAATATAGGTAAAAAGTATATTCGCTGGATTTTATTTTCACGGAATCATCCCTTCAGTGAAAATGGCGAAAATAAATTCCAAGCGAAAATAAAGTATTCTACAGTATCTCCATACTCCATACATAAATCCATGTACACAAAACACATTTTTTTTTTCAAACCTATATACTTGCCCATAAAAAAGACCTCATTCAACTGAAAATCTTGGTAAATTGAACAACTTTCCACTGTACCAGGAAAGCAAAGAAGGACAGTATAATGTTATCATAACCCTTGACCTACATGTGGTCTGTAGTCCCACGATTTGTCTGACAATATAATTTAAATAACCCATATTTTGAGTGATCCCACCAAAAGTTTGAAAATTAATCTGGTGAGGTCTGTGCAGTACGTTGCGACTGTGATTTCCTAAAATCTTGGTAATTGCAATGTTAAAAGAAAGCTAAAATAAATATTGGCTTTTTCAAAAACATATACATGTAGGAAAGAATCTGTTACAATACTGAACACGTGACCCTTTGACTAAAAGTCAACTGAGCAGTCAATCTGGATTATTAAAATTATAACAGTAGTAATCTTTGAAGCATATCTCATAGATAATCCTTCTCATGACAATAGTGAGTTACTCATATATTTATTTGTTGATTTTATTTTTATAGAAGTCTTTGCTACAATAACAACGTTAAATAATGGCCTGCAGAGTTGTGCCTTTAAACATGACTTGCATAATGTAATTTGCAACCACATTTTCCAAAAAACAAGATGGATGCCATCAACACGTACTTGTATTCAGTATGATATAAGTACTAGACAAATGCAAAAAATGAACAGATTTGGTCCACAGGGTTCTGAAAAACGACTCTAGATGGGCGGACAGACAGACGGATGGATGGATGGACGGTCGGACAGACAGATGGATGGACGGATGGACAGAACCCAAATTACAAACTTTGTTCAAATGTGGACTGATAATGGGGGTATTAATTCTTATTGAATGTAAATGGGTACCCCCAGAAATACCAGGATTTAAAGGTCATGCATAAGGCCTTTAGTATATATATATGATGAAAGAAGGTGATGCTGGTCAAATATATTAATTACACTAATTACACTAATTACTATAGCAATGTTATAATAATAATAATACAATTAACTATTTATAACAATGACCAAACCCTTACAAATTTGATTATAAGCTATTCTAAGCACATTAATCTCGTAATCGACTTTGTATCTAAATACCACTGTTAATGTTAATATTAACCACACATCATAAAATCAAATTATATTTCAATGGTAAATATTTTTTTGTCAAATGTAAAAAGGATATGCCATATTCAAATCTCATTTTAGTCAGGTCATAGACCAACACAAGATTCCCATTCCCATCTTGTTTCCCTGTATGACACTATGACACTATTGTTTACATTTTGGTCAACCAGTATACGCAAGTCTGACAGAAAATGGCATGCGCGAATCCGTACACTATTTCGCATAGAATCTACTCATCCAAAATACACTGCATGGCATTAAGGTCATTCATTGTTATAAATATAATCTCCTGGGTTTTCGGAATGAATGCGATATCATCAAAAAACAAGTGTTTGCATATACTTGAAGACATCACTTGTTCCTGTAGAGATTATTTTTCTATTAAAAAGGTCTGATTTTGTCTATCGTTAATAAATGCAGAAAGGCTATGATTATTAATAATAATAACTTTATTACACAACCAAAAACCATAAGAGGGTTTAGTATGGTAAATAACAAAAGACTAATTAAAAAATAATGCGTAAATACGCATGCTCTAATTTCAGTGTGGAGTGCCATAAGAGATCACTGGTCTGTATTCTAAGAATCTAACACATCATGCACCCCATTACATATACTGTATATTCACAATACAATATATATGTAGATTAGATATAATTTAACTGAATTTTATAACTAATGACTCAATTTGCTGCTGATTTTTTTATGGGAGTTTTCACAAAGAATTGTCAGTTTTTATATACTTTTACATGCACAGATAATGAGCATCTTGTATACTATACAACACAATAGACAAGTCAGTCAATTTTGCGTATATATGTAGCATAATACACCCAGAGGAACACCAACTGCAGACAACTCTGACAATCAATGTAGATATAAATGCCCTTGATTAATTTTTATGCAAAATGCTCGCTTATGTGTTATTTTTAGGTTTTATGAGTGATATTTCTAATTACTTGATAAATGATATTCTGGTACCAATTGTTTCTGGCCTAATGGAACAGCATTAACATTTGTCAGTTTCAATCAAAATGAGTGATTATTTAGCAATCCAAATCATTGTAACTTGGTTTTTCATATTTCTACATTCTTCCATATTCTGAAGTATCATTCAAGCATGATGCCACACTGGAGTAATACAAGATTCATGTATGATGACAAACACCATCGATTGTGAATACAGGTTTCACACCTGTAATTGAAGTGGTGTCTTTGTGAATTAATTTCTGGGGTAGTAATAACTTGTATTTTTTCCTTTATGTCTTCAAAATTGATAGAGGGATAGCCAAAGTTGAAATTTTCGAAGCACTGACGGGTTGAGGCATGATACTTATTCTGGCACAGTGTTTGTGTGATTGGGTCAATAAAGTGTATCCTCATTCTGAGGTGTGAATAGCTGGCCAGTGTTACTATGGTATTGTATTGTATTGTATTGTATAGTGGTATTGTAAAAACAGCTGAGCATAAAATCTGATCGGATCGTGAAATTGACAACTGTAACTCCACTCAAGTACAAGAAATCATTAAGAATATGGTATGTTGAAATCGTGGCGTCCATTTCTTGTAAGCAATTTACATGGTTTTTAATGAAAGCTTCAATACAAGTGGTCTAAAACAAAGTAACCCTGTGTATGAACATACGGGTCACATCCTGGTACTACCCATACATCTCGGAAAGTTCATTATCGATGACACTTAAATAGCAAACAAATGAGGTATAAACATTTGAAATTATTGCTATTAAAGGAAATACCTCCCAGAAATGCCAGGATGTACGACCTTCGGGGGTTGTGTATAATGCCTATTTGTATGGAAAATCAGTCTCCATTTTCTGTGCACAGCAAATCATATATCTCTCACCCTACCCTAGTACTGAATTATGGCCCCTGGCGACGGTGGTTACCATGGGACTTTAGTGTAGATTATCATTTCTGACAGATGGTTTATTATACATACCTCTTGGGCTGATGAATTCAATGATGTACATAAAGAAATGAATATAAATTTTATTTCATTCAAGACAAGTTTATATTACAATACGGGGCTGGGGTAGAGGTGGGAGTGTTTATCAAGATTGTTTGATATTATGCACAGATACTGTCATACACAGTACACAATTTTTGCTTTGTTCATAAAGATTACATAATTAAATAACAGAGGTGTAACTATGGTCAGACTAATCCCGATTAAAATGAAATCTGTATTTTCAGTAACCCTATCTACCCATTTTCTTAAGGGAAATCAAAAAGTTTATTTTATTCATATGACTCAAAATTATTAATTCTGTCATGCAAATTAGCTTTAGTCATTCCACTATGTAGTGAATGACGAGCACTTAGTATTAAGAATTACAGGGGGGGGGGGGGGTTCAACATTTTATACAAGTGATAGATACATGTACACACCGTATTTGTTCTACTAAAAGTCTTCAATAAAAACGTACATTATCTAATATGACATTTATTATACACTGCACTATTAAAGCGAGAGGGTCGTCACTTGCGCATGCGCGAGAATTGAATCTAAAGCGATGATAACAACTAAAGATGCAAAGGCTCATGGGTAGATGCTTGTTTGTAAACAATGAAACCCTATGGCCATCTGACGCATGCGCAGGCGCCGACATCCCCACTTTAAAATACAACTTATTTTGACCATACACACACGTCTGACATTTACAAAGTGTATGTATGTATGCGCTATTAAATAAAGTAATGTAATTTTTTGCGTTTGAGTAAAGACTGAATACAATATTACATCAGTAAATATACCATAGGCATACATGGGAAATTAGAAATACCATATTTGCTCTATTAGTAACGCATGCACTTACATAAATTACAGAGCTATTTCTTAGTCAAAATTAGTACTGTAATATTTTACAGATTCAGTATACAACAATACGATTTTTTGTGTTACTATGAGATGTGCTTCTTATAGAGTAAATATGGTAGGTTTATATCATACAATCTGTCACATCCAACCCCCCCCCCCCCCCGACTAAAAACAAAGGTATACATAATTAAGGGTGAAAGAGATTAATGTGTATGGTACTTCAGACAAGTTGTTATGTACGCTACATTAATATCTGTCACATTTTTATTCTGATGACTCATAGTAAAGTCGATGACCAAGTATTATGTGTACAGCAGTGTGTTTGTATGTGTGCACTAAATCAACTAAATATGAATATCAATCGTTCTTTAATTTTCTTGTCTGTTTTACCCTACCATGATTTCCCGCCAAAATGTTAGTGTCACATTCTGTCTACAGGTTTTGAATTTTTCTATATATTTTTTTATTTCAGACTAAAATGGAGATAATTTTCAACTGACACAGGTTTTGATGAAAAAATTTTTTAAAAAAATATTTAAAAAATTATGGGGGTTTTATTTTGTAATTGGTGAAGAAAGTTAACTGTGGTGCTCAAAAGATTGATGACGAAAAGTGATAAATTTATTTTGTGTTTCTTAAGCCAATAGTTTCTCAGTTTACATTCTTGTACAGGCTAAGATTAAAACTAAT